GTGGTGAGCACTCTGGACTCTGAGAATAAGTCTCTGTCTTATTCTTTGCCCTATCCCAGTGCCTAAAAACTGCCTACCAGTCGGGCACAATGACTCATGCCTGTAATCCCATCACTTTGAGAGGCCAAGGTGGGCGAATCAGCTGAGGTCAGGAGTTCGAGACCAGCCTGGCCAACATGATGAAAACTCGCCTCTACAAAAAAAAAAAAAAAAAAAAAAAAAAAAAAAAATTAGCCAGGCATGATGGCGGGTGCATTTAGTCCCAGCTTCTGGGGAGGCTGAGATGGGAGAATCGCTTGAACCCAGGAGGCAGAGGTTGCAGTGAGCCAAGATTGCACCATTGCACTCCAACCTGGGCAACAGAGCGAGACTCCATCTCAAAAAAACAAACAAAAAAAATGCCTGCCATGTTGTAATACTAGTCTGCCTCACACAACAGGTAATGTATTGAACTTTTTGTAAAAGAACAAATTTTATCATGATCTTACAATAGCATAAAATAAATGTTAAATTTTATTAGAAAACAAACAGGCTGGACAGCAATGATTTAAATATGAAAATTAATGAGTTTATAAATGCTTTTTGATTATATGAATGCATTCTATTTTTGGTCTTGAGTTTTTATATGAGAAAAACCACACAAGAAGTTAAAAATGGTACAATCATAAATCTGAGCAGACTCTAAATTTATGTGGGTTTGAATCTCATCTCTGCTACTTATGTGCATAACTACAGGAAAATTAATCATTTATGTAATATGGGATGCTTTCAATAGACAATTCCATTTATTTATTTGAGACAGAGTCTCCGTCTGTCCCCCAGGCTGGAGTGCAGTAGCACGATCTTCGCTCATTACAATCTCTGCCTCCTGGGTTCAAGTGATTCTCATGCCTCAGCCTCCCAAGTAACGGGGATCGCCGGCATAAGCCACCACACTTAACTAATTTTTGTATCTTTAGTAGAGACAGGGCATCATCATGTTGGACAGGATGGTCTCGAACTCTGACCTCAGGTGATCCATGTGCCTTGGCTTCCCAAATTGCTGGGAGTACAGGTGTGAGTCACTGTGCCTGACCTATTTATTTAATTTTAATCAAAAGGAGCTGATGATTGGTCCTTTTTCTACTGGGTTCAATCTAATGTAATTAATGTAAAGCATAAGCAAAATGGAATGCCATCTAGGCTGCCGTATCCATGCAAGGTACACCGGATGGGAGATAAACACTCAGAGAAATGTGAGGTCTTGGCATTGCTCTTGAAGACCACCTTGAGAGTCAAAAGCTCTAACTTTCTGACACAGGAAAAAAAAATGCATATCAATAAAAAGCATCATGTATTATTTCTGAGCTTTTGTAAATCCTCTAAAATCTACTCATGAAGTCTCTGAATCTACAGACCCAATCCTAGGTATTTTTTTTAAAGGCAAATGAGTCCTAAAAATCACATTCATTAGCTGGGATTCCACGCCTGGAATCTCAGCACTTTGGGAGGCTGAGGCGGGAGAATCGCTTGAGGCCAGGAGTTCAAGACCAGTCTAGGGAACAAAGTGAGACCCCATCTGTACAGTTTTTTTGTTGTTGTTGTTTTTATTTATTAGCTGGGTGTGGTGGAACACGCCTGTGATCCCAGCTACTTGAGAGGCTGAGGTGGCAGAACTGTATGAGCCCAGGAGGTCGAGGCTGCAGTGAGCCATGATCATACCACTGTACTACAGCCTGGGTGACAGAGCAAGACCCTGTCTCAAAAACAATGACAGTAAGAACACCAGCAAAAATTACTGACATTAATAGGTGACGTTCTGAAGACAGGAAGGCAATCCAGGCTGGGGAGAATAATATAACCAAGACAAGGAGCTACACATTAGTGATGTGTATGTGCTTTATTAGAAAATTGTTATCCTCTTTAGGTTTGAAAATTCACAATATTAAATTGCATTTTCTTCTTCGGACTATACCCTTGTTTTATGTTATTATAATACAGTTGTTTGTGGTTACCCTTAATAGATGTTATGCCAGCATACAGAGGTTTAGATATGGGTAGCTTAAGAGGAAAAAAAGAAAGAAAATCTCCAGGTAAATATAACATTTGTATTTAAATTTATAAGGTAAATATTTATTTAGAATAAGAAAACAAATGAGTGGATTAACTTATGAAGCACAAATAAATCAAACAATAGCAAGCAAAGCAAATGGAAAAAACCTTACACAATAACAGCATACTCTGTCCTCAAAGATTCTGCTTTGATCGTTATAAAAGGAAGGTGCTAATGTAACTGAGCTTGGCCACATATAATGCAGGTAGCAGTTGTTAACTTTGCAAGGATGCCAATCCAAGACTCTCCCTAATTTTCAAGGTACTGGAGAGTCTAGGTTGTTACTGAAAATTCTCAGGTTTTTTAAAAGACCAATAGGGTGTTTGTCACATTGAACATACTGAGGAACAGTTTCAATATATGAGCTGCCAGTCTTTGACTCTCATTTTGGAGAATGTAGAAAAATCAATAGATTACATCTTCCATTCTTTATTAAATATTTGAAATCTCTGACAATTACCTGAAATATAATTTTTAAATGTTATTGGTTGAGCTCATGCTACAGGCTATAAAAGTCAGATGAGTCAAGGCATATTTTGTTTTGTTTTTGAGGGAAGTTAAGTAGAAGGAAAAAAGAACAAAAAGCCCTTTCATTGCTGCATGGAAGCTGGCCTCTTCACCATAAAATGATGCACACAGCTGAATGGACCTTGGAGGTCTATCTGAGTTGTCTCTTTTCTTCTTCCTGAATATTGAGCTAATATAGGATTTTCAGGTTATAGCCTAGGCTTAAAGACTTCACAATATCTTGTTTATGAAACCAGTCCCCAAATAATTCTTTACAACTATAGTAGCTATGTCATACAGTCATCCCTCCACATCCACTGGGGATTGGTTTCAGGACCCTGAAGATATCGAAATTCAAGAATGCTCAAGTTTCTTATATGAAATGATGTAGTGCTTGCATGTAACCTACACACATCCTACCATAATATACTTTAAATCATCTCTGTGTTACATATAATACCTAATACGATGTAAATATGATAAAAATAGTTGCTATACTATATCGTTTATTGATTTTTCTTTTTTATTGTTGCATTGTTATTTCTTATTTTCTTTTTCCAGATATTTTTAAAATACATTTGTTTAAATCAATGAATATATTTCTATATAGGGAACACTGCAGATGCTAAATAAATATGGTGGGAAATTGCTATATCACATTGTATATATATCTTGCCCTTGTGCACAGACTTTACCATTTTATTGATTGAGTATGATTGATTGTGTGTGTGCAAACAAAGAATTTTGTCTAACCATAAAAGATGGTATGTGCAAAGTGAGAATGAATTAGATAACTAGAATACTAGAAAAATAAAGTTTTTGTTTTGGGAAGGGGATTAAAAGCAAGACAAAACTCAATGCTTTACTAATTGTATGTATTCTTAGCGGTGATCACTTTTGAAAATTAGTTATAATGGTTTTCTATAAATTACAATTCAGGTTTTTGACCAACAGAACTTCTTTACCCTTGCTTACACAGAGTTGTTTCTCCTTGGTTATTTATCGTTTCAGCATTACTGCACTAGCAATATTTAGGATGTATGGTCAAGTCCATCTTGTACATCTTTATAGTATTGTATCACCTGACAGATTATAGTTGCTGAAAGTCTTTAAACAAAGAAAAAATACAGAACTAAACCATTTATATTTTAGAAAATAACAGCAACAAAACTTTGTAGTTGAATTAATCCTTTATACATATCTAATTTAATTCTCACGTCAACCCTGTTGGTGCATTCACACTGAACAAATAGAAGTCTCAAAAGTGTAAGTGACTGCTTTGGTGATATCAGTGTTATTATTAGCTTTGACATTAGATTAACCTTAATTTATAAACATAGATATCTACCAAACCAGTGCAATAAATAATGAGAAATTCACTTGAACCGGTTTCAAATTTATCATAATTATAAAGATCAATTGCTGCTATAGGTAGCTTATACATTAAATGCTGGATAAAGCTATACAAGGTACACAATAAATTTGTTACATTAAAACTTTGGTCTAAAAATATCTACTAAAATATTTATTTACCATAGTATTTGGAAATACAGATTAATATATCATTAAACGTTAACACAAGTTTTAATAAGCTGCAGTTCAGTCATGTTATTCAATTGTTAAACTGCCAAACATCTGTATCCCAACATTTATATTTTCTTACTTTCATTTATGTTTACCTGCAGCATTTATCCTATATTTTTAATCACCAGATTTGGGGCAATAATGTTACCTGGTCATTGTTATGAATTATTAATTGATACATTTGAATGCATAGTATTTCATTAAATTAAATTCTTAACATTTAAGTGTCTATTCTGATTCTAGAATTGAAGTTCTTGTCCAGAAGTTACATTTATTACCTGATTTTTTGGATCTATTTCTCAGAATTTTGGATGCTATTCTTCAAAGATTTTGTTAGTCAGAAAGTACTTACTAGTTTTTGGTTATTTGCTTCTTAATAATTTGAAAGAAATTACCTAGAGAAAGATAAGAAAATCAGCCAAGGTCTTATCATTAAGATTGGGATGTATAACCTAATTTATGTGTCTTAGAGAAAAGCCCTTGAGAGATCTCATCCTTTAGACATGAGTAAAAACCACAACAGAATATCCACAAGTTATCTTACTTTTTCTTTTCTAATGTACATAGTACTTTCAGAAATTTTAGGGGAGGCAAGAAACATCATTTTCTCTGACTATTAATGTTATTTAAATGAATTACAAAATACTAGAGAGATTTATACCTATTAACCATCTAAAGTAAAAATGTATTCTCTCTAGCACTGTAATAATGCCTGAAGAAAGAAAAAAATGTGAAATAAAAACAACCAACAAGTAAAATCTTAATTTCTCTCCTATCTTGCCCCCCTCTGCTTCTCTCTTCCTCATTTCAAATTAAGAGATTCATTCTCCTGCTGGTTGTAATGGAAATGAATTTCAATGCCACCCTGATGGTAACTGCATTCCTGATCTGTGGCGCTGTGATGGAGAAAAAGATTGTGAAGATGGTAGTGATGAAAAAGGTTGCAATGGTACCATACGATTGTGTGACCACAGAACCAAGTTTTCCTGTTGGAGTACAGGTAAGTGAACATTGCTTTTAGCTTCTACTGGGGCTCCCTGAGTGTGGAATCCTTTTGGTCCATCCTGACTCTGTATCTCACCTTTGTGAAAAGTTGTCTTATATTTCTAGTAGATGTGCTCATGTATAATAATAGTAGTTAACGTTTAGGGAGAACTATCAATGGGGCCAGAATAATTCTATGAATGTTCTCTACATGAATTCATGAGGCAAGGAGAAGTTTTTAACTTGCTCACGCTCACAGAGCCAACATGTCAGATTTAGGATTTTATTTGAATTTATTTATTTATTTATTTATTTGAGATTTGGGATTTTAAACCAGGCAATCTGGAATACAGAATCTGGAAATTCAGAATCAAGAGAGAGATAAGTATGATAAACTAGCTGGCAACGTTTCTCTTTCTGTGGATAACGCCTCATCCTAAAATTTAAATGAAGATGACTTAGAAAAGAAAGACAGAATTATATGTATTTATTTGCAACTAATTTCCTAAATATTACTGTACTATTGCTTAATTCTGTTATGATGAAGATATTGGCTGCCATTTAAAGCTTTGATCCAAGAGTCACTGCGGCTATTATTGTGTTTTATAAAGGTACCCTATTACTATGACTGTTCCATTTTGGTTTCGTGCGTGCGTGTGTGTGTGTGTGTGTGTGTGTGTACAAATAGGAAACCAAAATGGAGAAGTCATAGTAATAGAATATCTTATATTCTACTATGTTTTACTATATATACTGGATTCCAGTTGAAATTATAAATTTATTTTCTTCCCTCTTTATGCCAGATGATGTGTTGAAGTTTAGAGAAAAGTAGATTACAATGAGCTATTGTGGTGTAATTTGTGAAATGGTTGGTATCATCCTCCAAATAATCCATGGAAATAATTTTCTGTAGATTTCAGGATATCATCTCTGGAATCTCTCTTTGATGTGAAATTGGTTTTCAGTTGCCTAATCACGAGCTCTTAGTGATTTCTTTTGCTCCCTTTTTTACATATTCTAACAAAAAGTACAAATGAGAACTAAAAGGTATAAGAAAACACTGTGAAAACCACATGGCCGATGTGCATTTAAAGGTATAAAAAGGCACTGTCTTTCTTTTCTTAAACATGCCTCTTGGTTACAATTAAGGATTCCAATAAGAAATAAGAAAAATAAATGCAAGCTAACATAGGTATAGATAAATAACATACTCCTGAAGCCTGTTCCTAGCAAGGATATTGTGTTTCCAAAATGTTTTTTTCAACAATGTTTTTCACAATTATGTGACTCTCTTCAATTGTTATATAAAGACTCATAATTTTAGGGTAATTTGTTAGAAAAAAATGTGATTTTAAGTTTAGAAATGGTCTTTTTGGAACATGTATTAATTGAAAATTAATAGATGAATTATTGTCAAATGAATGAATTATTGATGGCATAAATAGGTTTTATTTAATAGGGCAATTCTAATACCAAAGAGCCAATTATTTGACTCGAGCTAATATACTTCAAAGCATAGGTTGTGTATATTTTCCCCATATAACTTCTGGCATTTTCCTGATTGTATTAATCTTAAAATATAGCAGCTAACAGTTTTTAAAACATATATGAAAAAGAAACTGGCGAAGCTTTGTTAAAACAAAATATAAACCAATATGGAAAATCCTGAGTTTCAGCTACTTGGATATGCTATTAAAGCAAATTAAATGCAAAACATAAAACCAGGCTGCAATTTCTCTATATGGAAATAAATTATAAAGAGATTCACAATAATGTAAATTCTCAAAGCTATGTGTTAGTAAAAACTAGTTTGAACTTTCAATTGAGAAAAAAATAATTGCAGACAAAGCATGTAAATAATAAATAGTATGATTAAGTAAATTTAACAGAATATTCTAAGTGCTTGTGATTTATTTTAAAATATGTATTGATATTTTGTAATTAACACTTATAAAACAACTTCCTGTGAATATGGTTCAACATAAAAATAAATCTGAAGTATGATGAGGAAGGCTGGTTATCTTTAGATAACTGAATTTTCTGAGACATTTTTATATGTGGTGACTTGAGATTTGGATTATCTATTTAATAATGCTGTTAATTAAACATCAGATGTTTCTAACAAATAGTTTTTTGGTAAGCAAAAATTTGATGTAAAAAGAAACTGTGATAAAACACATGTTTCACTTTAAAAGAAAAAAGTGAAAGGTAATAATTTATCCATCTGTTTCTAATTTTATCTGTGTTTTGGATATAGTAAACCACAATTTATCCAACTTCGGAAGAGTTGCACAATTACTAAGTCACATTTATGAAAGACTTCTGTGAACATTGCAGTCATTAAAATGAACCACAAATATAAGCAATGGTTTAAAATATGTATTCATCTACAAACCTTTTGATATATTTTCATTTATTTTAAATTCTCAGTTTTACAAGCTGCAAGACCTTTACCCACAATGTTTAATCCAGAGTTCATGATTATTTTCGAAGATTTGTAAAATGTTAGTTTGAACATTCAAAAGTTTTCAGGCTAATTAATTTATATATGGCAGTTAGAATAGCTTTGTAATACATAAATTGTCATCTGTTGGTGTTCAAAACATAGGCATATTCTGTTTTTATAGTCCTATAAAGATGAGAATGAGAGCTAACTTCAAGTACAATACAACAGTCATCATTTAAGAACTTCTAATCTCAAAGGACCTATTTTTGACCAAGAAGTGCATTGTGCCACATCTGTTCTCTTATACTCCAGACTAACAAATAGCAGTTGTATTGTAACTGGGGAAAAGGGAAGTGTATTTTCAGTCACTCTGTCATGGAAAAGAAACTCAGAAATGCCATTTTCAGATTAGAAAAATTAAAGAGAAGTTTGATATGACATAGTGATGGCAAAGTACAAGGAAAATAGGCCCTGCAGCTGTTTGTAGGAATGTAAATTTAATCCTTCTGTCCTACTTCTAGAAATTCATGTAAAGAAGAGTAGGATTGTATAAGGTTATATATGCAAAAAGATATTCAATAAACCATTTTATTTTTAATAGTAAAAAGTTAGAAATAATATATTGCTTATCAATAGGGATAGTAATAAATTGTTGTGTATTCACACAAGTAATCTAATGCCATTTAGACAATAAAAAAGGAATTCACGTGAAGGTGAGACTTCAAGTTTACACTCTGAACTTTCTGCTTCCCTGTTTTCACTTCTCAACACACGGAAGTGATGATAAAATATAACAGGATAAAATAAAGGAGATACCGCCTTATGAACAAAAAATATGTATCTCTAAGTAACAGAAATGTAGCACAGTGTCAAGTGGTGAGCTAAAGCTGAGTACCTTATTGGGTTGGGTAGTAGGCTAGCAGAAATGAACAAGTACTCAAATCTTAGGGTCAATAGAAATAAAGCTGTCCCACATGAAGCTGGGATCTGGAGGCAGGCGGTACCAGAAATCAGAACCTGGAAAGAAACTCCATTTGCTTTTGAAAGGAGAATTGAAAAAATATATATATCACTGCTAGTTGCTGCCAGTGGTGGTTACTTAAATGAAGTCCTGTGCCTAAAGAGATCGGAGGACACAGGCATGGCAATTAAGCTGAACTTCTGTCTGGCTTGGAGATTGAATCTGATAAAAGTCCAATATTGTTTTAGTATAGAATCTCACACAAAAAATATATATATATAAATTGTACTTCTGAATCAAGAGTGCTGGAAATAATGGGGTGGGCCAAAGTCGAAGCAGCAATGCTTGTAGATAGGCGCCAGTAAACTCATAAAGTCAGAGAGAAAAAAATGAAAGTTCTGATCCAAGATGAGATTACAAACCAGAATTTTAACATACATGAAGAAAACTATCTCATCAAAATCAGTCATTACAAAATAAATTATTCATGATTAAATGACAATAAGCTATATGTCTGAAAAATAAGTTTAAGTACGTTGAGACCTCCAAAAAGAAAAAGAGAAAAGTTTTACTCTTAAAATGACTAAGAATTCAGCACAAATATGACAAGTAGAGTAATTACAACATAAAAGGTAGAGAATGAGACTATCTTAGTTCAGGCTGCTATAACAAATTATCATAAACTGAGTTGTTTAAACAACAGACATTTATTGCTCACAGTTCTAGAGACTGAGAAGTCCAAGATCAAGAACTGGGAAACCTGGTGTCTGTCTAAGGCACTCTTCCTGGTGTGCAGATGGCAATCTTCTTATGATATGCGGGTTCTACTCTCGTAACTGATTACCTCCCAGTCCTCCCAATACCATCACATTGGGGATTAGGATTTCAACATGAATTTGGTCTGGACACAAACATTCCATCCATAACACCTATAAGAAAAATGTGGTTCAAAACCACAGTGGGATTGCATTCTTTCGACATCAGTTGATTGATAATAAATAAGCCCAGTAATACCCATGTTGGTGAGAGTAGAGAAAGCAGACACTTTGCTTTCAGTGGAGACTGGTGAACCTCTGTGGAAAGCAATATATTTCAATGTTTACAATTTGTCTCCAAATTTACTCACAATTCCACCTCTAGGAATTAATCACATAGATATATTCATGCATTTGAGGAGTGAGATGTACAAAGATATTTATTTAAAGCTTTATTAAATGTGTTTAATAAACTTAAACCAATACATATATACTCTTCCATGTACATCAAAGTTATAGAAAACTATTTCAAATTTGACTATATGTTAGGTTCCAAAGAAGTCTTAAAAGTATTTCAAATAATTGGCAATTTACAAAAAGCATTCTCTACACACACAAAATATTAGAAATCTACAGTGGAATGATTTTTAAAAATGTATTTGAAAACTAGGATCATAGTTCAAAACAATCAGTGGGTTAATTAAGAAATCATACTTTTTTATTATTATATTTTAAGTTCTAGGGTACATGTGCACAATGTACAGGTTTGTTACATATGTATACATGTGCCATGTTGGCGTGCTGCACGCATAACTCGTCATTTACATTAGGTATATCTCCTAATGCTATCCCTC